AATTAACAAAACTACATTTACAACAATCATCCTGTAATCTGCTCTGGAACTGTCAGATCATTCATGCAGCATGTTTCTCTAAACGTTGAATCTTTCTGTTTGTTGGATCAGTACATTTTTAATCTCATCTTCTATGATCTCACATTAGTTGATGATACCGCTGCAGAGAGACACATTCAGAGCATGTGTTTAAAGAGAATCTCCAGGGTGCCTGTAGCGTAAACTTCTGATTTAAGTTTTTTTTTAAATAATGAGATCAGGATCAGCCTTTAACTCTGACCTCTGACCTCTGACCTGCTGGAGATGTTCAGAAGGATTGTTGTGGTCAAGCGTGCGAGAGGAGGAAGATGGAGGATCAATTCTTGAGTCTGAAGTCAAAATGTCACAAATGAAAGGTTGAAAATAAATATTTTCTTTAATACGTTCCAGGAAGAAGAAACTAAATGATATCAGGAAGGTTTCTCCAATCAGAGGCAGAGGAGATGAGATATTTTGACTTGAGGAATAAGAAAAGAGGGAGAGGAGGAAAACGTTTTCAACCACACGGTTAGAGAATAAAGTCTTGATATGAAGTGTGGCGTCAAAGCGTCAGAAATGAAGCTGAAATGTTACACAATAAAGAATCATAGTTGTTCTCCTGAAAGTTAAAACTTATTCTCCAAATGCTAAACAACAAGAATCATCTTTTTCTTTTCAAAAAGAACTTCAACTTTATTTTACTCTCCTCTGCCTCGCCCTCGTGAGCGTCTGCACAGACGATAAAGAGAAGGTTAAACTCTCAGTATTTTATTCCTCACTCCAAAAAAGTGAGAGAAGAAATGTTTTTAAACTACAGAAACCAGTCCATGAGTTTGGTTCCTGTTGTGTAAAGAGACATGAAATCAGCTGTTAGTGGATCAGAGTCAGTTTTCCTGCTGTGTTCAGACTCTTCTCCTGCTTCTTTTGGAGACAGAACCAAACTAAAAGTCCTGGGTGAGAGCCACAAACTGAATATTCATGTAAAAATATGTTGATATATAAATCCCTCTGAGTGTGAGATCTGCTCACTGTGAGCATCATGTTTGATTCAGAGTGATTCTGTGTCTTTCTGCACCCTGATGTTCACGTCCTCACTCGGCTCTGAAGACCTCAGACGCACACTGGAGCAGAGGTGTCAAAAGTATTGACATTGATTACTCAGGTAGAAGTATAGATACTAGGGTTTAAAAAGACTTCTGTAGAAGTTAAAGTATCAACTCAAGCTTTTTACTCAAAGTGTAAAAGTACTGGTTTCAAAACTACTTAAAGTATAAAAGTTAAAGTAATGTAAGGGGGAAAAAATGCCATTAAGGACAAAAGCTTAGGCCGCACCACAGCGTGTAGGAATGGTATATGTTTATACTTCTCATCCAACCACAATCAAATTCACTCTATCAGGACGGCGCGATTGATCTGGATAGGTTTTTGAAGGATGACAAGCCGGAGTGAAAACAAGCTGAAATGAAATAGGAGTAACAAGGCTATTTTTAAAATGTAAGGAGTAGAAGTAAAAAGTCTGCTGAAAAAGAATTACTCCAGTAAAGTATAGATACCCAAAATGTCTACTTAAGTAAGAGACACCTCTGCACTGGAGTGAGGTGTGACTCTTGAGGTTTGTTGTGGATCCGTCTGCAGCTTTAACTCGCTGATTTCTGTCCTCTGTGTTTTGCAGAACGTGAGGTCACTCCACCGACAGTCAGAGTTCTCCCAGCTTCTCCAAGGGAGTGTGGAGACAAGAGTGAGACCATCATTTGTTTGGCCAGTGGATTCTACCCGGATCATGTCAGCTTCTCCTGGACCGGCAAAGAGGGCGAGGTCAGCTCAGGTGTGGCGACGGACAGCGAGGCCGTGCTGGAAGAAGGAAAGAACTACACGATGAGCAGCAGGCTGAGGGTCTCTGCTGAAGAGTGGAACAATCCTGACAATGAATTCACCTGCACCGTCCACTTCTTTGACGGGAAACAAAAGCTCCCTTACTCTGCTTCAGTTAAAGGAATAGAAGGTAATAATCTGATTCTTCATCTGTTAGAAAAACAAACACAGCGACATGTTTCCTCGTCTGATTCTCGTCTCTTTTCTCCTGACAGCTGAAAGAAAAACCAGAGGTAAACGTCTTACTACACTGTGATGATCATAGAACTCATATAAACTGAATGTTTCCTTCTTTAAATCTCATCTCCATGTTTGAACTCTTTCAGACAAATATCTGAAGGTCACGCAGAGCGCCAAACTGACGTACAGCGTGTTCATCGTGAAGAGCTGTTTCTACGGAGCGTTTGTAGCTTTTCTGCTGCTCAAGTTTCAGGTGAGCTCCAGTTTAAATCCTCTCCTCTGACCGCTTTGGGATCTGTGAGTTGAATAATAAAGACGTGGTGTTCTTTCTGTTTGTTCCAGGGGGCGAAGCAGAAGAACTGAGAGCAGAGCCGACGCCTCACAAGAGGATTCTGGGAAATCTGCTCAGTGTTCATGTCTGTGTATGAAGTTAGCAAACCTTTAATCTTCAAGCTACTTTTAAAATGATTGTTCTTCGGGGCGCCATATAGCCTAGCGGTCATGTTGCACGCCCCATGTACGGAGGTTATGTCCTCGTCGCAGCGAGCGGCCGTGGGTTTGAATCCGACCTCTGACCTCCTCTCTCTTCAGCTGTTCTTTCTCATAAAAGCAAAAAGACCCAAAAAATATCTTTCTTTTTTTTTAAAGATCGTCCTTCACAGACGCTTCACTCTGAACGTCATCAAAGAAAATCACAACGATACCTTTAAAAACAAACGTGAAGAACGAGCTACGATCAGACCAGAGCTGCACACATGATCCATCTTATCACACTTCAGAGTTACAAAGATGTGTCGTGTTTTATTCTTTCTTTCTTTCTGTCCTTCTGTCACTGAAAACTTCACGTCTTTTCTTTCTGCTCTGTACGAGAATTATATTCAAATGTGTCATCTTTAATAAAGACTTATCAGACTTTACTTCAATTCTTTGACTGCTTGCTTCTTTTTTGTCTCGATGAAATGTTTAAAAAAATCAAGATTAAGATTCATTATTTAAATACAAAGGTTTATAATCGAGCTTCTTTATTTCTTTTTTCGTCTTCTGACTCCTCAAAGCTCTTTTACACTGCAGGTCACACCTACACATTCACACACTGATGGTAGAGGCTGCTGAGTAAAGAGTCCATCAGTATTAACTCATCCATTCATACACATTCACACACTGATGGTAGAGGCTGCTGAGTAAAGAGTCCATCAGTATTAACTCATCCATTCATACACATTCACACACTGATGGTAGAGGCTGCTGAGAGTCCATCAGTATTAACTCATCCATTCAGATTATTAATTCATTTGTGTTTTTTTCTCGACCCCATTAGTTGAGATTTCTCTCTCCTTTATGTCCTGATAGGTGGAACATCGAGCACTTTTCAATTTCTGTTTTGGTTTTAAATATTTCTCCTCCTCTTGTGTCTTGTTCCTTGTTACATCAATTTGTTAATCTGTGTGTCATGATGGATGTCAAGTTTGCTTGCTGTTAACAAATCTATCTACGAGTACAGATAAAGTCACCTGAACCTGAACCTTAGCCTAGACCTGGACCTGGACCTGGACCTGGACCTGGACCTTACATCCTCGTCTTTATTCCAACATCTGGTGCACAGTATTCAGATGTTTTTCTATTTTTAAACTTTGACCAAACAAAATAAGAATCTTATGACAGTTTGCATTCTGATGAAGAGTTAAAAAAAAAAGTATTTCCATTGGTTCAAACTGGTTCAGTAAGAAGTACACGTGTGTGTGTGTGTGTGTGTGTGTGTGTGTGTGTGTGAGCGTAGCACACAACAACAGGAAGTGTGAGCTGTGTCAGAGACGTGAAAGCTGCAGGCGAGCAGAGAGGAGAGGATGTGGTCACAGAGCAGAGAGCACATCTCTCTGTGTGCTCACCACACACACCTGCAGCTACACACACACACACACACACACACACACACACACACACACACACACACACACACACACACACACACACAGCTGCAAAACTTCCATTTCCATGTCAACTGAAGCTACAGAAGAAGGTCACAGTCTGTCGTGAGTTTGAATTCTCTCTGATCTGGTGCAAAGATCTGCAGCTCATGTTCTCATTCTGACATGAGGGTGTGTGTGTGTGTGTGTGTGTGTGTGTGTGTGTGTGTGTGTGTGTGTGTGTGTGTGTGTGTGTGTGTGTGTGTGTGTGTGTGTGTGTGTGTGTGTGTGTGTGGGCCCGCCCGGGCTTTCCTGACTTCAGTCTATGAAATGACTCTTCTTTTCTTTGGGACAGGCAGCTTTAAGACGAGCCGTTAGCTCAGTAGTTTAAATGATACAGGAATGCAGGAAGGAGCTACAGGTCAGATTCTAACTCGGGCCGGGAATCCTTCATCCACTATGTCAGGACTATAAAATGTTTAATTAACTCCAGAATGAATATTTAGACTTACAGGGGAATTAGGTTCCACAGTCCACCCCGACCATGAATACATTTACAAACAAACATCAGATGAAGAACATCAGAAATAACAAACACACAGAGCTGGCACACTGACCCCCTCGTGTGGTCTCTTTGGGTAATGACACCCACACGGGACAGATAAAAAGCTCAGTTTAAGGACAACAGTGATAAACTAATGAGTCAATAAATAAAGACGTCAGGACGTCTCGGAGGTTTCATCACAGTCAGCTGGTGTTGACAGCAGGTCAGGTTCTATGTTTTTATATTCAGTGTACAAACAGACTCCTGCTTCACAGATTCATCTACAGTCATCGGTCCCTTTGTCATTCCTTTATGAATCCTGATTCTGCACAAACGGGTCAGATGTCCGGGGTCTCCAGTCTTTTTGGCGATCGCAGTAGTTCAGAGTTCAAAGTGTTTTTGTTTTTTTTAAGAATGCAGTCCTCCAAACGGCTTCACCTCCAGAGTCTTTAAAAACAACAACAACAACAACGTCGTCAGCTTTATCCGAGTCGGCCGAACCTTTTGTTCCTCTGTGAGTGCCGGGTGCAGCTGGCGCAGCAGAAACTGGAGTAGTACGAGTTGGAGCAGAGCCGGGTGTAAACGATCAGCTCACAGTTGGCGAGCTCGGGCTGGTCGACGCACTCTGGAGGAACATCACCGCCTGAGACAGAAAAGAAAGACGATTATTGACTTTCTTTGTTTTTGCATAAAATCAGTTTAAATAAAATCCACTGAGAAGCCGGACCCTGGAGTGGAGTGCTGTGCTTTGGTCGTTCTCTATTTCAGCCCTGCTCAGAACAGGCTGTTTCTGTGTCTGTACCTTTAAATATGTAAATGAGCTGTGTCTGACCACGCCCCCTCTCTGGAAGGGCTTGGGTGTACTCGGTCTTTCTCGCTCCATGTCCTATTGTTTACAGTGAGAAGGCAGACTCAGAGGGCAGAACAAACACCTAGCTGTGGGACCGTCACCCACCTGGGGGAGGGGCTACTGCCCTTTGTGATGTCATGAAGGGAAAATCTCCAAACGGCCTGTTTGAGCACACATTTTCTGAAAAGTGGAGCAGGCAGAAGACAGAGAGGATGGACTTTTCTCATCATAGGGGGGTTTGTAGACGGACTAGAGACACATGTTAGAGTTAGAGGAACATGGAGAAGGGGATTTTAAAATCCTTCCCCGGGGATTTTGGTGTAAGCGTTCGCTAAAAGAAGCTCGCCGTGTTTTTCTCACCTTGTGTGTCTTTAGTGACTCTGACTTCGGCTGTGGCGCTCACAGAGTAGATGCCGGTGTAAGCGTTACACGTGTACGTCCCCTCGTCTGAAGGCTTCACGTTGTTCAGGATCAGGCTGCCGTCAGACGACGTCAGGATTTTACGACCGTCCGGACGCACCGGGACGCCGTTTCTGCAGGAAAGACAGGAGAGAGTAAAACTGTGATGTTCCATGAGCTCTGTAACGGCATCTCGTGTGAAAACAGAAGCTGCTTATGTCTTTGTTTTAATATTTTTCTCTCGGGGTCTGATTCACTAAACGCACGCCGTACTGCGCTGCACAGCTAACGGTGACATTAAGAGGCAAAACAAGAGCAGGGAGCAGGACGTGATTGAGCCTGAACGTGATCAGCGCTGGAGCAAATGATGCACTCTTTTTTGGCGCCATTAGCTGCCTCAATCCATGAATCACACCCGTACTTTAGGATGGTCGTTGTGTGTCATCCCCCCCAACACCACCGCCCAGCTACAGCGCCATCCTGTGGGAAACACTGATCACTCTTCTAACAGTTAAAGCTCAAGTTCCTTCTTTCAGATTATTTTGTTACCAAAAGCACCGACCCACCTCCTGGTCTAACAGGATCCATGCTTGAAGGGGTCGTGATCTTTTACCTGGACCAGCCGATGTTGACGTTGTCTCCTGACACCACGCAGGGCAGCAGAGCTGTGCTGCCTTCAGACACCTGGATGTTATTTGGAGCGGTGGTGATCTTCAGGTCGGCTGGAGGATCAAAACAGAGAGAAACACACTTTAAACACTCACACTGCTCCTCGATGTCCTGCAGAGAGAATCATCCTGAAACAACAGGAATACTGACCTCTGCTGGTGAGAGGGAGACATGACAGTATAAACAGATATCTGCAGTGAACAGAAACAGTCCTGATAGCAGTGTTGTAGTCGAGCCATTAAACTTTAAGTGTTAGTCAAATCTCAAATCTCAAGTTACCAAAGAAGAGTCCGAGTCCTTCAGATGGAGTCTGAGTGTTAACCGTCAGTTCTCCTTCAGCTCATTCATTTAAAGATTTAAAGAAGTCAAAGCTTCTGACCTTAAAGTCTTTATATGTGATTTTTCATACTTAAATGTAGAAATCAAGTATCTCCTCTGAAAATAACTCTGTGAGTCATGACTGTCTACAATGGGTGTAACACCCGAGTCCCACTGTCTGTGATGTTTTCAGAGTTTTCAGAGTCCTATCTTCACTTTGTTTACATCGCCAGGACAGCCGGCTGACTCCTCCCCTTGTGTATAAAAGTTGTTTAATTGAGGGACTAGAGAAAAGAAGAATAACATACTGTACTCACTGCTTAACTGTGTTTCTAGATCACGCTCATTTCAGGTAAATTTACATGCAGTGTGAAGATACCAGCATAATAAAGATCACTAGCATTAGCATGCTAACACAACAATGCAGCGCGAGCTGTTTTGGTTTCATGCTGGTGCTCAAGGGCGACATCTGCTGGATCAAAACATCACATATAAAGCCTTTAACCTCTCTGTACTCTGGAAAGTCTATGATCATCATAAATAAAAAGTTGATCTCAGCTCTGATGGAGTTCAGGGTTGATAAAGAAGAGCTGTTTGACCGTCTGAACCTCCACTGACCGTGTGGGAAACTTTTCATTTATTAACGTCAGACTCTGAACGATCCCGTCAGCGTGACTGGAGTTTTAAATTATTATTAAAGTTACAGCGCTGTGCGTCGAGTTTAAATGTGCACCGCTCAGTAACGAGGAGACGCCCTGAGTGTTTCTGCTGCAGGCGTCTGATAAACTTAAAGATCCCTGTAACCAGCCTGTTATACATCAGAACTTATATTTGACATTTTATGATTCTTTTTGTCAAATCCACAGTGATAGGACTGAAATCTTCACATCACCATGACGACACACAAACTGCTGCTGAACAAGACGACACATTAACGCTCGTACAGGTGAGCTCTCCTTCTTCTGAGTCCTGGACTTCAACGCTGACTAAACAGCGTTTCATCCACTGCATGTTTTGAGTGTATTTGAAGGATTCAAACTGACCTTGCACTTTGAGCTGCAGCTGTCTCTGCTCCAGCTGCTGCTGGCTGGACGCCGTGCAGGTGAAGACGCCCGAGTCATCGGACCTCAGAGGGCCGATTATCAACGTCCCGTCTGAATGCTGGGTAAACCTGAAACACAGCGGACAGTCAGGTTAAAAACCAACCTCACTAAAAGAGAAAGTCCTGCATTCAATAATAAAATACAACTTCATTTGTAGATTATTTTAAAGACAGGAGCACAAAGTGATCCGTACAGAAGCACATATCTTTACATTAACTCTGTCTGTGTTCATCTTTGTTGTGATGCTCTTCCAGGCCATACAGAGGATTTATGAAGCCTAACTTCCAAGCAGAAACTTCTAAAAAAAAATCATGACCACCAAAGTCGTGAACGTGCTCAGCCTCTCAAGTGCACGATAGAGCACTAAGGCCAAAAAGAGAGATCACGCCCTCTAGTGGAGGCATTTATTAACATCCATCCCAACGTAAAGGACTCGTGGGTAGTGACAAATATATCGTTTAAAACCCTGAAAAAAAGGATGGGAGCTGGTCCCTCTATACACACACACACACACACACACACACACACACACACACACACACACACACACACACACACACACACACACACACACACACACACACACACACACACGTCTCTGACCTAGCAGCTGCTAAACTTCCATTTCTGTGTCAACTGAAGCTACACCATGAAAAGAGTCCTAAAGCTCCCTCACAGCTGTTCACCATCTGATGTGATGAGGGTCTAAATATTTACATCAATAAAGAAAATATGGATAAATAACACAAAACTTAACGTCATATCTTTATCTATCCTCTCTGTGAATGCTTAAATTAATTTCAAGTTTCTGTAGATATTTGATCAGTAAAGAGACTCTTTAGTTTCTACTTTCTACCTTCAGTCTCTTTTAAAAAAACATGTTTGTGCTTGCTGGTGTCACATAAAGAGGAAAGCGTGTGTGTGTGTGTGTGTGTGTGTGTGTGTGTGTGTGTGTGTGTGTGTGTGTGTGTGTGTGTGTGTGTGTGTGTGTGTGTGTGCGGTCTAACATCTGTGAGCTACATAATTATATCTCCTCCTGCAAACTCTTTTTTTAAAATGAATTATGGATCAAAAAGATCTTTAAGCTTCGTCTACATTAACCAGCAGATTAAGAAACACTGAGTCCGATATTCAAGTTCTTTTTCATTCTGGGATTTTTGCATTTGATCTTCTTCAAAGGAGCAGTCTGTAACTCTGACACCTAGTGTTTAAAACCGGTACTGCAGTTCAGATTCTAAACATGATAAAGAGCTGTTCCCCCCTCCTCTCTAGAATCGATGCTCACACAGGTTGTCATGTGGTGGACACTGAAGCTTCAGTGATGGAAGCGGGAGCGAGAAGTGGTTCAGATAGAAGTGATAACCAAACATTTAGTCATGCTTCTTTAAAATCACATTCATATCTGTGTTTTTTAAATCTAAATCCTAAATGATATACAGACACACACATGTAAATAATCTCTCTGGAGGATCGTTAGAGACAGAGTGCAGCGTTCACACCGGCTGAAGTACTTTCAGTTTTAAATAAAATGTTTTAATGTTTTTTATGTGTTTCACTGTTTGAGTCAGCAGGAGAACCTTTCTGAACTTCTCTGACTCTGTAGTTTCTCATTTCTGCCTCTAGAGGGCAGTGTGAGCCCAGAGTATGAAAGAGGAACTCCCTCCATGTTTCACAGGTGCTGCACAGTAATGTATTCATTCAACTTTTGTGATGGGATGAGCAGGGACTGACTCACTTTTGGACCCAGCCTCTAGTGGAGATTTGAGGAACTGCAGCTCCACATTTGTATTAAATGAGAATAGGAGAATGAAAAACTCTGATGTGTTTATGAAGGTGAGTGTGAATGATTCAGTTCTTTGATTCAGTGTTTTCATTTCAGACTGTTTCCAGAGGGTTCTTCAGAGCACCTGGATGGACACGCCCACACCTCTTTGCTTGGTTTCGTTGTGCAGCAGTAAATCCGTACAGGCCTGCGTGACACACAGAATTATTAGCATCAGAAACAACAGCAGCAGCAGCAGCAGCAGCTCATTGAATACACAGCAGAACTTCTCAGGACGTCAACGAGACACCTGCCTTAGAAATCAGAGCTCTTTCATGACGCAAGTCCTCGAGGGAATTCTTACTGCGGTCGAGATTTTCCTGAAATCAGAAACAGTTTTAATGTCAGATAAGAGAAGAAGAATGTGATCAGACAACTGTTAGTTCCCACAGAGCATCCTGATTGGACAAGATCCATGAGATATAGGTGGGACTTTTCACAATGTGTATCCCTCCGCCTCAGTGAGGGTTCTTTACACGGTAGGTAACATCACAGCTGATACAGTTTGTCCTGATTCATCTGACTGGTTCCTCTGATTCAAACAACAACACACTCTTATTTATCTGTACTTGGACTGTATCGGGTAGTGTGCCCGAGTCTGCTTGAAGAGGTGGTCTCAGGTAGGATTCATGTGTGCTTGAAAACGGTCTGCGAGAGATGTCAACACAACCGCTCAAACAAGGAAGTGGACCGCTATATGACGTCATTCTAAACGTCTCCTGACGCTTCTAAAACCATCATATCAGAAAACAATAGTGTGTGTGTGGGGCGCTGGTGTCCAATGTGTGGAGGCTGTAGTCCTCCAAGTGGGCGGCCAAGGTTCAAATCCAACCTGTGGCTCCCTTCCCGCATGTGGATCCTCTCTCTCTCTCTGATTTCCGTCTCTATCCACTGTCCTGTCTCTCTAACAAAGGCACAAAAAATAAAGGACAAACACAAAGAACAGGTGTATTTCGGTAAAAGTTAATTTGTGGAATACTTATGCCATGGAAATAAGAATGTGTAGTTCACTTTCCAGATTAAAATTTTTGCTTAAAACAACTGGTGCTTAACAAATATAAAAGGTCGGTTTTAAAAGAAAGATCAGCTGACTGAGGCTTCTCTCAAAACTTGGGTTCCGGAAAAATCCAACCACCACTGGTGTGACTGGTTAAATAAAGCAGGAGTCACAGGTTCCAGTTATAACGTTTTATTTAACTTGCTGCTTGACAAGGTGTTCATACACTTTTAGACTGAGACAGCATTTCCAGCATGGAGACCGCCATCGATGGGACTCCAGCGCCCCCTGCAGGAACAGATGGGTGACCTCACTCAGGCTTTGTCCGTTTAAATATACAGTCTATCATTGTAGTACATCCACAGTAATGAGCTGGACTGTGGCTGATACATGTGGAGCATTAATATCCTGAAGACTCATCTGAAGCACGTGTTGAGTGATGTAGATTAACGGGACTGAATGATGTAACATGTGTGTTAAGGGACCCAGACACAGACAGGTAGTAGGGCAGGCAGGTATTTATTGAAAATGGAGATGATCTGAAGTGGCTAATCGAGGCTGTCAGCTGAGCGTGCTGACGAGCATGCCAACAGGCCGGACGGAGACGATTCAGGAAAGACTGAACCTGCAGGAAGAAGAGGCAAAAGTTATCAACATGGAGGAAACACTGACAGCAGAAATGAAATATATTGCAATATAACTTTTGATCCAACATCGTTCAGCCCCACTCTGATTCAGCGTCACACATCCTTTGCTCACTGAAAGCAACCGCAGTTTCGTTTTAACACCAGCAGAGGGAGACATACTTTAACAAGCCAAACACTGGAACGCCTTCTGCTGAGGAAACATCAACAGTGTGACTCCTGCTGAGACAGTTAGCTGTGAAGGTTTCTGACAACGCCCCCCGTTCCTCTCCGTCACAGTGAGGTGCTCTGATGCTCTCACACAGACTAAACAGACTTGAGGAGGAAACAACATGATGTTAATACTGTTCATTATTTGCTTCAGTCATCATCCGAGTGTTAAAGGTGAGGAAGCATGCAAACAAAGTAAAGGAAGTAAAAAGCTGCACAGTAAACGTCTTCAGTATCTAAAATGTGTTTTAACTCCACAGGTGTCTCTCATTCCAACGATGTCAACCAAACACCTCCTTCCATCTTTAAGAGGATCAACGAATCAGTGACCGGAGAAATCAAATGTTCCCACAATATAACAAATTATGATCGTATTCTCTGGTACAAACAAGACGCACACAGAGCGCTGAAGCTTCTGGGAGTTCTCAATGTTCAGCATGTGAATCTGGAGCCGGACGTGAAAGGAAAGATCAACTTTGACGGAGATGGACGGGAAAAGTCGAGCCTCTCTGTTTCTAACCTTTCCTTAACTGACAGTGGCGTTTATTTCTGTGCTGCTAGTCGACACAGTGCTGCAGATTTGTGTGCAGTCAGTACAAGAACTCCCCTTTCTCTGTCTGCAGACTCACAACACGTTCAGGCTCATCGACACCTGCAGTCCACACAAAGATCTGAACCACCATCTTTGAGGTTTTATCAACCTCTCACTCAGTTTGTACCTCGTCTGAGGACAAGTACTGACAGCAGGTGAACTGAGAAACGAACAATGACGTCACAACAAAGTGAAACTTCCTGGTTAAGATTGACGTCATTTAATCATTTTATACTAAGACCTTTTGTGTGAAACGTATCTCAATAAGCTTCTGATTTCTGTTATGTCCAAACCATTTTCTGAGAGATCACAGGTCACCAAATTATTAATCATTATTATATCCTCGAGTCAAAGTTGACATATGAAACAAATCTAAAGGTTCTCCAGACTTTCCTGAGTTATTGGGCTGAAGAGGAACCCGGGATGTTGGTGTGGATGTGTAAAAATAAATGTTATGCAAAGGGGTGTTTCCATGCTTTCTGCACAGTTGAGTTCTGTCAGTAACTCAATGCACCTAAAAAAACATGACCTTGTTGCTAACACAAGTTTTTAAATCAAAGATATAAAATGCAGCGCTTCATAATGAACACAACAGAGTCTGTTTTTTTTTCCATTTTAATGTCAGAGAGTCTCGTTATGAAATTATCTGATTCCTGTTTTTGGATTTTTTTGTGAGTTGAAATAAATGAAACTGTAAATTTTGTTCATGATGATGTGTCGATAAAGGTGTTTCAACACGTGCACAAACATTCCTGAAATGTTCTGAGTGACCTGCATGTGTGAACGCCGACAGCCAACTTCATCCTGCAAGCCCCCTACTAAAATGTCCGTGTGAAGTCTGGTCACGTCCATATTGAAAGCATCGGATATTATTCAGGATATAACATGTGATCTCTGACGTTCAGGTCAAACAACCAGTCACACTGTTTTCTGATACTATGTGTAGGAGCCATTTTGTGTTTATCATTGGCATGTTTTATAATTAGATTTATCTGAATATATTATTTTCCACTAGGGACACTGAATGCACAGGGGTGTATATATATAGTAGCACAGGTGACAGGAAAGGGAAGGCACAGGTACGGGGAGCAAAGACAGTTCTCAACCGACCGGCATTCATGTTTCAGACCAGCACTCAGACCAACTACAATTCATTCATTCTACTGGCTACGCTTCACTGGAAATGGTATGTTTTTTGTTCTCATATCTCCATCAAGTCACTTTAATAAACTCAACTTTAATAACGGCTGGAAAATCATTGTTTGCATCTGCGTAAGACTTCACCCCTACCTGTGTATTAATGGCAATAATTGGAGCAAAGGAAAAAATTGGAAAATTACCATTACACTATGAATACGTCCAATTAAACGCAGCATTGATATAAAGATACAAACGTCGTCATATCATCAGGCTCTGACGCTTCGTACACCATTTTTGCGTCTTTCAAACGTCATGTCCTGCCTCCTCACGTTACCCCTCGTCAGACAGGGAGAATCTCTTGCTGTGAAGTGCATGTATGTGAACAGGAAACCCAGAGGATTTCAGGGGCGGACTCTCTATTTTCTGGAAATATTCAGCAGGAGTGTGAAAAAGGCTTCAGATTGATCGCAGGCTCCTGAATTGAATGTCATCAGAATCAGGGTTTTCTTTCATAATGAGTAATAACTTTGGACCTGTTCACCTAATGGAGTGACACTCCCATGAGTGACAGCTGATTGTAGGTGCTGCCATCTTTGGTCTCTAGGCTCACACCTCCCACCTCACAGACTGTCAGAGACTCTTCTCTCTCAGATCATTCAGCTCTGAACACAACAATGATCACAGCTGTTCTGATCAAGCTCTCTGCAGCTCTGCTCTGCATCACAGGTACTCTACGTTATGAGGCTGAGGACTTACTGTTGATCACACAGAGGACCTTCATTTTGACATGTTGTTTTCCCCCTCCACAGGTGTAATCGACGGGAGTGATGTGAAACAGGCCGCTGTGCTGTGGGGGGACGAGGGTCAGTCTGCCACAATGACCTGTGAGCACACTAAAGGTGCTACTTATTTCCAGATGTACTGGTACAGACAGCTGCCAGGAGAGACAATGCAACAAATCGTTTTGACGAGACCATCTGCCCTCCTCAGTACTGGTCTGACTTCAGTGAGGACAAGTTTCCTGCAAAGAAGGACAACTTCTCGACTGGATCTTTGACTGTGGAGAAGCTGCTGCCTGCAGACAGTGGAGTGTATTTTTGTGCTGTGAGTCAACACAGTGAAGCAGGTGACTCTGACAGCTGTACAAATACCCCACTGATGAATACATGTATTAAAGACATCAGTGTTTGATTATCTATAGGGGGAGCTCTGGGTGCACAATAGTTCTTTCACAGCCATCAGTGTCCCAGAAAATGTGCAATGACAGAGTATCGATCATATTATGAATTTATGTCCTTGAAATGTGAAGAATCCAATTCAGAGCTCAAGTCATTTCATATTAAGTTTCCAATCATGTTTCAATTTGTTTTAAATTAAATCTTCTTGAGTTTGCCTAAGCAGCCCTTTAAAATCAAAGTTTCCGAGGCGCTGGGTAGCCGAGCAGTTATGTCGCCCACCCGTGTACGGCGGCTGTAGTCCTTATCGTAGCGGCCGAGTGCTCGAAGCTGACCGAGGAAAGCCTCGGGTTACGTAACATTTTATTGTGAATGTGTTGGTGGTGGTGAATGTTCAGTGGTTAAATAACTTTGTATAGCCTCACACATGTGACTGCTCACTAGTGGTGTAATGATGATCTATTTAAATTGACACATGTATTCTATATTAACTGTGATTTCAGATCTCACAGTAGATCACCGCATCCTGAAAATAAACTTAAAAAGATAAAAATCTCTTTTTAACACATTTAAAACAAATATTTAATAAATATCAGGCAAAGTGACATTAGTATGTTTTAGTGTTTTAAACGCACAGTATGTCAATTCTACCACCAGGGGGCTCTTAATCAAAACAATAACAGACAGATGAAGTTGGTGGGGAATCATGGGAGTGATTCCTCTGCTACCCCCCCGACTCCTCCCCTCTCAGGTCAGTTCAGTCTGTCGCTGAAACCAGACACAGAGAGGAGGAACAATGATCCGGATCATTCTGTGGCTTCTCTGCATCTCCTGTAGGTTTATATTCAATCTGTTTGATAATTATTATTCTGTGTCATCACTTCTGTCTTATAAAGTTTTTCTCTCTGAATCCAGGTCAGTCACAGGCCAAAGACGTCAAACAAGAGCCTCCATCGATATTTGGAAGTCCTGATGGTTCAACAACTATCAGCTGCAGCCATACTATAAGTTCATTTTATGTCATACTGTGGTACCAGCAGCCCACAGGCAACTCCAGCCTTAACCTCATTGGATATATTCAGTACACAAATGCAGTCGTTGAAGATAAATTCCGAGAACGTTTCAATGTGTCTGGAGATGGCTCGAAGAAATCAGAACTTCATGTAGTGAAACTCAGACAGGCAGAAGACAGCGGCATGTATTACTGTGCAGCTAGTACACACAGTAACTCGACCTCCTCCTCCTCTCTACAAAAACCCTCAGTGATCATCAGCTAATGAACTCACAGATAAGAAGAGGGATACACCTGCATCTCACTCCTCTCACGTAGGCTGTGGCAGGAAACATGTCGGCTCGGGTGGTAATACAGTTATAAGGTATCCCACGGTATTTAAAAATAGTAAAAGTTATCAGTTCCATTACCCCCCCCCCCCCCCCAACAAACCAAAAACTGCTGCGCAATTCTCAAAGGCCAATAAATAAATAGTGTTTTTTTAGCTCCCCTGTCTGCGGGCTCGTGTTTTCAGTCGATCTTTCTGATACTGTAATGATTCTTTGAACTTGATTTGGGAAAGATGAAACATGTCCTCGTCACCTCAGTGTCAGCCTGTCTCTGCCACCGCGTAGGACAAGGGAGCAACTGCGTCCTGTAGCCTGCTCACCACAGAATTTAAACTCAGCGTTTTGATTCATATTTCATTCTTTTATTACTGAAAGACAAAAATGAAGTCTCTCACTTCTCCAGAAGTGAGACGCTCTCATTGCCACCGCCATGTTTGTTTTGCTGATATGTCACTTGGCTGAGGCCGCGCCTGCGCAGGTAGTAGGTAGCTGTCAGAAACCGGGGTTAGACGATGACACAGTGTGTTTCTTTCTGAGTTCTCCAGGTGGAAAACCGGCTTTCTTAAAATCCGGTTAAGGGCTTATCCACAGTTCCTGAAATCAGGATCTGATGTTTACATGCACAAACACAAAAAACAGTATACTTAAAAAAACCTGATCAAAACCTGGATATTCAAGTTCATAGCAGAGGCTGCTGACCATCAGATGTAACCAATCACATCCAAACACATTCACACACCAACGACGAAGCAGTGGGAGCAACTTTGTGTGTCTTGCCCTAGGACACATCGGACATGTGGCTACAGAAGCTAGGGATCAAACCCACGACCTTCCATGTAAACGCACCCATTCTCATTATAATGTTACTGTTAGACCATCAACTCTGAGGAGGCAACATGTTGACACAAAGATTACTTCAGGGAGGCACGGCCGTTTTCTAGTCCTGTTTTAGATATTTTTTAATAAAGGAATCAAAACTGTGACAACAAAACAAGAACAAATCCCCTTTTAAAGACACGTGGTGGCTCATTGTGTCGACCCCTCCCCCTCCTCCTCCCCGTGCTGCTCCTCCTTTACATGCAGCCAGTTCACTGACATCTTTCTTCTGAAGTTTTCATCAGTGTCAGGATCATGTTCAGACTCCTCATATTAGCTCTGACGTTCTGTTTAACAGGTAATATAAGAGCAAACTTGTGAAAACTGGACTATAATATTTTCACTGAGGTTTATTTTTAATGCTAAAGCTGCTTCTTTTTAAATGTCTCTTTCAGAACTCTCAAAGAGCCATGTTGATCAGAAGCCTGCAGCGCTGGTCATACACCCTGGAGAAAAAGTCCAGTTGACCTGCAACCACTCAAACAGTAACTTTGAAATGATCCAGTGGTATAAACAGTCTAAAGGGAAACATGACATGGCTCTGCTTGGATATGTACGTTACTCTTCTGCAACTGTAGAAGATCAATTCAAAGGCTTGTATAATGTGAGTGGTGATGGTAAAAATCAGTCAAGTCTGATTCTCCTGAAGCTGAGTGGATCAGAGAGCGCCGTGTATTTCTGTGCTGCCAGTGAAGCACAGTGCTGCACAAACTCTCCGTCTTTAACAAAAACCAACACCACAGGAGACACCACCAGAACGACAAACAATAAACCACTTTGTGGATGACTCAATCAGACAGCTGGCCTGACATGAGGCAGATTTTATTCACACCCATAAGGGTGCACTGTTTCTCCGCAATGTTTTACAGGAGTGATCATTTAACCTGGGCAGCATGACTTTAATACACACGTCCACATTTTGTTAAAGATGATTGACAGACGTGTAACCAATAATCATTCAGCTGTTTCAGTAAGAACTTAAGAGAAAGTGAAGTGCTAAAATCTAGTAGAGTTCTGCATGGAGGGTCTGGGAACTACTGCCTACAAATAATAAAAAAATAAATCAAATAAAGGCCAGCAAATATATTTTTTTCAATTTCTCAATTTCCTGATCTGATAAAATACTTAAATCTGTTACTGATTAAAAATAATGCCTTCTTAATTAAATGTACTGTAATGTATGTGTATGGGACACAAAAACACCATTTTTTATTTGGCCGGTGTATTTTATCATCTGCCTGCCACCTTGGCCGTGAGTCAAAAAGTGATTTTCGGACCCTGCACCCAGGTATATTTCAGACTATTTTCCCACAAAATCACCACACACAAGCTGGGATCAAACCCTCAACCTTTCTGTTGAAAGAAGATGACTCTACCAACTGAGCCACAGCCGTCCCACTGAGCCACAGCCGTCCTTGTAGTAATAGTAATAGTAGTAGTAAAGTAGCTGTCATGTTCTCTGCACTGTACTCGGATGTGCGGACGCGAACTCCACCCAGGTCTCTTTTATTTTGTAATTTAGTTCTCGCAGTATCTGACTAAGATGACTCAAAACAAGCCTCAAAGTCAGTAAAGTAGCTGTTGTGTTCTCTGTGTTGTTCTCCATTTTTTTCTCGAGTCCGCCTAGTCTTGTAAACTAAGCACACTTCATGATCACATAAAGCCATGCATGTGTTGTACTACGACGCTTGTTCAAGAGGTAACCATGCTTAGACCCGGTTAGTCCTGGAGCAGTGTGAGTGCAGGTCAGCGGGGGAAGGGGGAGGTGAGGGGAGTGGGGGTAATCGTGGGGCCTTAGATTTGAGTGAGTCTGTTCCGGAGGTAGGTGTGTTCTTGTACTCCTCAGATGGTGTGCAGCAGTGAATGGGTTCAATGTTGAGAACAGGAGGTGATGACCCACCCCCTCAGTTTGC